TTTTGTCATCTCACTTTCTTTCCTGCTCTCTAACAACGTTCTGTCGTCTGCTTTCGTCTCCACTTTCTGTCTCCACCCCCTCACCCCCCCCCCCTTGCCACCTCCTCTGAGCTCCTGGCTCTTTCTGCAGCCTTTCTACTGCTTCTCCTTGGCTCCGTCTTACTGCTGTCTTTCAACCACACCCCTGATCTTATTGTAGGTAAGATCTAAACCTAGCCTTCTCGGACAAGGGCAAAAAATCTCGGAGGTCCCGTGAGCAAGTTGCGCTCGTTATAGATCTCTTGGTGGTCCAAAATCGATAAGAGTAGGCTTCGGCCGCCAACTGGGCAAAATTCAAAATTCCCAACCAATTGAAAATGTTTGACGTGTCCCGCGCACTCATATGACCTTTTGCAGTTGCGAGCGCCGTAAAACACTTACAAAAAAACCACCCAACAACAACAGCAAAATACAGCGGAACTCGGTTTCAACGAAGTCGTCAGACCTGACCCTCAATTTCATGGAATCTGAGTTTTCCTTTTTTTAAAGTAAATATGAGGTTTTTGTGGAGATAATAACGTGCGCTGTACAAGTACATGTAATGTACAGGTATAATGTAATCGAATTTCTCAATCAAAAGTAGTTTGGTTTCAAATGAGAAGCATTTTCGTTTCTTTGATGCCATTCTGAGAAATGCTGGGAAATTTCTAAGAAAATACACCGGAGAGGGGATCGAATTTTTATTCTTCTGATATACAGTACGGACAGCTTGCTTTTATGTGCAACTCTCCGTTAATTTTTGGGGGGTTTGTTGGTTTTTAAAAAAAATTATATTTTTTTGTAAGTTTAATTAAACGCGACCGTCACTGGGATCTCGGCAAATCTAGAAGGAAATTGGCCTCCTTCCCGGGCAAAGCGGCCTCGAAGAGAGCGAGCGCCGCAGTCACCAAAATGTGTTTATGCTCTAGGTGTTGACCATCTATCTCCATACTCTCTCCAACACACCAATGAAAATTTTGAAAAACACTGGGGCATGTATCCGAGTAGACATTTTGGACATCTGAGCAAGCTATGCCATGTTGCTGTGTAGAGCCTAGCCTACGGTTACGTTGGATTCCACAGTCCAGGGCCTAATTCATTATGTAGATCTAGGTCAAGACTAGGTTATGGTTGTAACTTTGATCAGTAGTCGAAAAAAAACAACTGACGCTTTAAAATAATTTGTATCTCTACTGAAGTTTCACTCCCCGACCCGGTTGTATCCCCCCCCCAGATGTCCAAAATGTCTACTCGGATACATACCCCAGTGTTTTTCAAAATTGTCATTGGTGTGTTGGAGAGAGTATGGAGATAGATGGTCAACACCTAGAGCATAACCTAGTCTTGACCTAGATCTACATAATGAATTAGGCGCTGGACTGTGGAATCCAACGTTGCCGTAGGCTAGGCTCTACACAGCAACATGGCATAGCTTGTTGGGCAAACAATACTTCATAGATGATACATGACACAGAAGTACATTTAAACCAATCGGACCTTTTGCACAGCGTGTGCTTCGTAGAGTCTCACTGTCATTGAACTGAAAAGGAAAGTTTTAAAAATAGATGGCGAAAAGCTATTTTCATTGGAAAATTTTACAATTTCTACCGTTCCCCAAACTGTTTTAAAAAACAATAGTTAAGAATAATAATATGCCTTTTCCAAGGAGTTAAAAAAAATCATAACTACTTTTAGGCTTTAACATATCCCTCCCACCTTGCCTTTCATTTGGCTCCAAATTGAGTTAAATAATGAAATCTGTAGAAAACTAGAATAACGTCAGAATACACGATCAAAGTCAATGCTCGTAAATTTTTTTAAATATCGCCAGGGCCCACTTTTGCCATCATTAAGATCAAAATTTTCCTACCCCCACCTCCCCACCTCCCCACCAACACACACCTTCGAGCACGCATTTCCAAACAGGGCATAATATAACATCTGGCATTACCCAGGAGATCCCACCCGCCCACCAAGACTACCAAACCACCCACTATAGTGCAGTCAAAAATTCGTGGCACAACTTATTGTCAAATATCTCCTTAACTATCGAACATAAACTGCCCAGCTTTTGCACTGTGACTTGTATCAATTTGTCTTAACAGATCAATATTTTAGTAAAGACCTGTTAGCTGTATTCTAGAAAATTTCTTGACAAATACTTTAAAAAAATTCTAGTCTGTGGTTTCTACTGATTTTAAAAGGTTTACAGCTGGGACGATATAGCTTTTAAAAGCAAGTCCGTCATTTTTTTTCTAATCGTGAGATTGTCTATATTGGACGCATATTTTGAGAACTTTTAATGCAAAAAAGTCTTCACTATAAAATTCATTTCTTGTAACTAGTTTTGCCACTAAAAAGTATTATTGGTGAGCTATGACGTAACCCGTAAGCGTATACAAAATGTGTGTGAGAAGGGGGAAGTGCTGTGAACAATTCTATTTTCCGCGTGAAAGAGATTTGTAGTATTTTATATAAATTTGTGAAGAAAAGTTTTATTAGTTGCGCCACGAATTTTTGACTGCACTATAATACTAGTACCGCCAACTTAAATGTTATTCCAAGAGTGGCATGAGTAATAACACGTCACTGCCAAGGTGAACCCGACCACCCACCAACATTGCCGCATCGCCAAATTGTGGGTGATAGGTAACCAACATATTATTTCCAGATCGCCCACTACAGAGCGGTTAAGAATTCGTGGTGCAACTTATCCTCAAATATCTCTCTAACTGGTGAATGACCTCCACCCATACTTTGCATATCAGTTTGTATCAATTTGTCTTAACTTAATCAAATTTCTCCGCAACAACTAAGGTTCGATTAAAACACTTTTCTTCATAAATGTATATTAAATACTAGATCTATATTTTACTGTATAAATCTCCATCAAGCGGAAAATGGGATTGTTCGCAGCACTTCCCGCGTCTCGCACACCTTTTGCATACGCATATAGCCTACGTCACAGCTCGTTAATGACACATTTTAGTGACAAAACTTCTTTCAAGAAATTAATTTTATAGTGAACACATTTTTTGCACTAAAAGTTCCCTAAACATACGTTCAATACGCATAATGTTGCAATTATTTTAAAAAACCTGACAGATTTGCTTTTAAAAGCGATACTGCACGAGCTGCAAACTCTTAAAAATCTGTGAAAAACCATCGACTGGGATTTTTTATTAGTATTTATTCAGGAATTTTCTAGAATACAGTGTGCAGGAGTTTGAAAAAATGTTCACCTGTTAAGACAATAAATTGATATAAGTCATTGTACAAAAGTTGGAGAATCTATGTTCAATAGTTAATATATAAGGAGATATTTGACAATGGGTTACCTCACGAATTTTTAACCACGCTATGGTACCACCCACCTACAGGTATTTCCCAGTGGGGCAAACACATTTTAATAACACGTCACAGCCAGGGTGATCCCGACCGGCACCGCCTTCCAACATTACCTGATTAGTATGCTGTAGTTAGGAATGCACAGGTCTAGTACAGTGTAACGGTATAATAATTATTATAATACAAATCCATGAGTATACATGTAGCAGAATATATTCTATCTTACCAAGGACAGAGACACAGTCGGCCTTGAGGGCGTCGGCAGCTCTCTTTCTGTCATCGGCGTGACTGTGAGAGATGCCGTGGGCAATGGCAAACACCACTTTCTCTACCCCAGGCCGGGCAAACTGACGACAGAAACAATTGGTTGCTTTTACTTTTAGGCACAAGGGGGCTATCCCGATAAATGCTGTTTTGAGAAAATCGAAGGTAAAGTTTTTGCCCCTTAAATGGTTAAGTTTCTATAAAAGACAATGCGAGTTTTCTCCATAACCAAACAAATATTATACACACCAATAAAACCAATCTTCTCCTATAGGTAGGCGAATGTCCACTTTGGTGTGGGTCAAGATTTCTGGAAACCCCAAGATCTGGGATAGCCCTCTTGTCCTTAAAAGCGACCAAAATTAATTGTACTAGTAGTAGTTAGTAGAGGTTTTTACGGCGCTCGCAACTGCATAAGGTCATATGAGCGCCAGGAGATTAGAGGTGTTACAAGAGAGTAACAAACATAAAAAGAAGAAGGGGAGATAAGGACGATAGATGTTTGATAGGAAAGAAGAAGCAAACCACACCAGAGCACCCGCCAACCACCCACCAATTAATTGGGTCACCACATGGTGGAATCAGGCGCTCGTCAGAGTTTATTGGGCACATGCAGTTATTGGTATCCTCTTCCAGCTTGTTCATTTGTCTTGTTTTTGAGGAACAAATACCGATCTATTTGAAACAGAAGTCGAGGGATTTGTTATTGCATGTAGTAAGAGGGGGTTGCTTGGTGTCAGATGTAGAATTAGCGAAAAAATGGCGGCAAAGTTTGGTGACTTCTAACTTCCAAAGTTTGAGTGTCTACGGAAACAGCAAATCTGCATTTTGTTTATTTCTTTGATCCATGTTTTTCAGTAAAATCCACAGATATGACATGTTTTTAAAAGGATATAAAATGTGTTGAGCCAAAAACTGATTCAACAAAAATTGCTGAACAGACGGGAAAATGCCAGTTTCTTTGATTTTTTTCTTTTTAATTTATTTCTGTGGCCAGTTTCTTTGATTCTATTATTTTAACGAGCACTTGATTTCACCACGATGCCACACATTGGTGTAAAACATCGCAAGTTCCTTTCAACACAATTCAGGTAATGGCGAATACCATTCTCTCAACTCCAGACCGGGCAGACTGAAGACAGAAGCAAGGGTTTATTGCTTAAAATAATATTATTATAAGCTCCTTTCGAAACAATTCAATTGATGATCATCTGAAATCTAATAAAATATGACTCATTTGAAGAGCAATCACTAGCTATTTCTATCCACCAGTTCCAATAAAACTTCGAACAAATGGAATTCAAGCAGGGGGACGTCAGAAGTCACACTTATGAGACCAAAACACTTATGACCAAAATAGAGAAATGCAACTGACATGTTGGAAAAATATAAAATTTGAAAATAAAATGCCAACCAAAACTGAATGAAATACCAAATGTTGCAGCTTCTTCAAAATCAACCATATTTTTCTATTTCAAATAACCACTAACTGTGAAAAACACGTTTATTATTTTTTTTAAATGATGTTGCTAATTGACCTCAGGCAAAGTGCTGGCTATTTAAATTTTATGCTCCAGGTGTTGACCATCTCTCTCCTTTACACGCTCCAACACACCAATGGAAATTTCGAAAAACACTGGGGCATGTTTCTGGGTCGGTATTTTGGGCATCTTGTCCCCCCCCCCCCCTTTCACCCCAGTACCCATAAAAACAAACAAACACACAAACAAACAAGCAAACAAAACAAAACAAACGAAACAAAAAAAAAACTGTTCAGTGTCCAAAATGATAACCTGTGAGTGATTTTTGTTTACCACCAGATCAACACAGATAAGATTATTTAGAAGGCTTGCTTTGACACTGTCCGTCATGAGCCACCCATGCTGCGAGGGATACAAGGATACAACAGCCCAGCAAGACTGATAGAAAATACTCAATAAAAATTCTCCCCTCCCAGGAATTGAGCTGGGGTCTTCTGCATGCTACGGCCAAGCACCCAACCGCTGCTACTGGTGGTACTGCTGCTGCTGCTGCTGATGATGAAGATGATGAAGTAGATAATGCCGACTATGATGATGATGATGATGGTGATTATCGTGACAATGATGGTAACGATGAAGTGTTTCTCGCCATACCCGGAAAGAATGCTGTCTGGTGAAGTCCAAGGCCTTAGCTAGATTCTGGTGACCCGATGTGTGCACATCTCTAGTGACGTGAGAAATTTTGTTTTTCAGACCGTGTCGGTTATTTCTGAAATCTGTCAGATGGATTTCCTGCGGAGATTGCATACAAATGTGTTGTGTATGTTGTGTGTTCACAGGCTTGTTCTAAGCTGTGTAAACATAGGTGTGTTGTGTGTTCACATGCTTGTTCTAAGCTGTGTAAACATAGGTATGTTGTGTGTTCACAGGCTTGTTCTAAGCTGTGTAAACATAGGTGTGTTGTATGTTCACAGGCTTGTTCTCTGTTGTGTGTACATAGGTGCATAGTATATTGTGCGTTGTGTGTACACATGTGTGTAGTCAAATGTGCTGTGTGTAGTCAGATGTACCGTGTCGTTAGATGTACTATATGTAGTCATGTGTACTGTATATATACAGGTGTACTGTATGTAGTCAGGCGTACTGTATGTTGTCAGATGTACCGTGTCGTCAGATGTACTATATGTAGTCAGGTGTACTGTATGTAGTCAGGTGTACAGTGTTTTGGCAGGTGTACTGTATATAGTCAGGTGTACTGTATATAGTCAGGTGTACAGTGTTTTGGCAGGTGTACTGTATATAGTCAAGTGTACTGTATATAGTCAGGTGTACTGTATGTAGTCAGATGTACTGTAGGTAGTCAGGTGTACAGTGTTTTGGCAGGTGTACTGTATATATTCAGGTGTACTGTATGTAGACAGGTGTACTGTATGTAGTCAGGTGTACTGTAGGTAGTCAGGTGTACTGTAGGTAGTCAGGTGTACTGTATATAGACAGTTGTACTGTATGTAGACAGATGTACCGTGAATAGGCAGGTGTACTGTATGTAGTCAGTTGTGCTGTGTGTAGACTGGTGTACAGTGTGTAGACAGGTGTATTGTGCGTAGTCATGTGTACTGTGTATAGTACTTTAGGCAGATGTACTGTATGTAGATAGGTGTACGGTGCGTAGTCAGGTGTACTGTATGTAGTCAGGTGTACAGTGTTTTGGCAGGTGTACTGTATATAGTCAGGTGTACTGTATATAGTCAGGTGTACTGTGTGTAGACAGGTGTACTGTGCGTAGTCAGGTGTACTGTAGGTAGTCAGGTGTACTGTATATAGACAGTTATACGTATGTAGACAGATGTACCGTTAATAGGCAGGTGTACTGTATGTAGTAAGTTGTGCTGTTTGTAGACTGGTGTACTGTGTGTAGACATGTGTACTGTGTGTAGACAGCTGTAATTAGTGTAGACAGGTGTAATTAGTGTAGACAGGTGTACTGTGCGTAGTCAGGTGTACTGTGTGTAGACAGGTGTACTGTGCGTAGTCAGGTGTACTGTGTGTAGACAGGTGAACTGTACAGGTGTATACGTGCATTGTGTGTAGACGAGTGTGTCATGTATAGTACAAAAATAACACCGATTTTCTGGGAAATTGTGTACACCGACGTGTTGTGTACTGCATGTTGCGTTTTGTGTATTCTGTGCTCACTGTTGTGTGTTGTGCACAGTTGTGTGTTGAAGTCGCATTTAGTGTGGTGCCCTTTGTGCATTGGGTGAAGTACATTGTGTATAAAAAAATGTGTGTCGTGTATAGTACATTGTGTATAGTGCGTCGTGTGTTGCATATTGTGTGGTGTTTGATGCATATTGTGTATTGTGAGATGTTTGTTGTATATTGCGTATTATTATGTTCTATGTGTTGTATACTGCTCATTGTGTCTTGTGTGTCGTATGCTGTTTATTGTGTATTTTGAGTTGTGTGTCGTGTGTTGTTTATTGCGTATTGTGTTTTATGAGATGTACGTACATACATACATTTTTATACCAATCAGATTGCGACAATCTGCTAGGAATAAGCATGGAAAGAACATTCTTAAAAACAAAAACAAAACACAAAAAACCAAAAAAAACAAAAACAAATAACTAAATAACAAAAATCTGGTCCTGGCCCCTCACCTCATAGACGTCACTATCATAAAGCACCACAGCCACACGGACATTATTGTCCCCAATGTACCACTGGTTCACCAAAGCATTGATGAACTTGCCTTGTGCCTCCACTTGCCATCTGGTTACCTCGGTACTCCTTTGCACTAGGAACACAATCTCTACTGGCTTACAACCTGAAATTGTAAATTTAAAAAAAATCATACACACACAAGCGCGTACACATAGATGGACATACACGTACACTCACATGTACATACACAAACACACACACACACACACACACACACACACACACA